TTTTTCCCTTTTTCTTTATTTTGTTTTTATTCATATGTACCACATTTTATCCATTCATTTTTTTTTTTTTTTTTTTCTTTTAGATGGAGTCTTACTCTGTCACCCAGGCTGGAGTGCAGTGGCGTGATCTCAGCTCACTGCAACTCTGCCTTCCAGGTTCAGGCAGTTCTCCTGCCTCAGCCTCCCAAGTAGCTGGGATTACAAGCATGTGCCACCACACCCAGCTGATTCTGTATTTTTAGTAGAGATGGGGTTTCTCCACGTTGGTCAGGCTGGTCTCAAACTCCCCAACCTCAGGTGACTCCCAACGCTCACCTTGGCCTACCAAAGTGTTGGGATTACAGGCATGAGCCACTACACCCAGCTCATCTTTTTTAACTTTAATTTTTTTTTTTGAGAAAGTCTTGTTCTGTTGCCCAGGCTGGAGTGCAGTGGTGTAATCTCAACTCACTACAACCTTCATCTCCTTGGTTCAAGCGATTCTCATGCCTCAGCTTGCCAAGTAGCTGGGGTTACAGGCATGGGCCACCATGCCCAGCAAATTTTTGAATTTGTAACAGAGATGGGGTTTCACCATGTTGGCCAGGCTGGTCTTGAACTCCTGACCTCAAGTGATCCGCTTTGGCCTCCCAAAGTGTTGGGATTACAGGCATGAGCCATCGCTCCCAGCCTGATTTCCTTTCGAGTGTATACCTAGTGGAGGATTCTCCAAACTATTCTCCATAGTGGTTGTACTAATTTATATTCCCAACAACAGTGTACGAAGGTTCCCTTTTCTCCAAATCCTCTCCAGCATTTGTGACTGCCTGTCTTTTGGATATAAGCCATTTGAACTGGGGTGAGATGATATCTCATGGTAGTTTTGATTTTCATTTCTCTGATGATCCACGGTGTTGAGCACCTTTTCATATGCCTGTTTGCCATTTGTATGTCCTCTTTCAGAAATGTCTATTCAAATCTTTAGCCCATTTTTTGATCGGATTATTAGTTTTTTTTCCTGTAGAGTTGAGCTCCTTAAATATTCTGGTTATGAAACCCTTGCCAGATGGGTAGTTTGCAAATACCTGTGGGTTGTCTCTTTACTTTGTTTCCTTTGCTGTGCAGAAGCTTTTTAACTTGATATGATCCCATTTGTCCCTTTTTGCTTTAGTTGCCTGTGCTTATGGGGTATTACTCCAAACCAACATCCTGGAGATTTCCCCCAGTGTTTTCTTGTAGTAGTTTCATAGTTTGAGGTCTTAGATTTAAGCCTTTTTTTTTTTTGAGATGGAGTCTCGCTTTTGTCACTCAGTCTAGAGTGAAATGGGGGATCCCAGCTCACTGCAACCTCCGCTTCCTGGGTTCAAGCAATTCTTCTGCCCCAGCCTCCTGAGTAGCTGGGATTACAGACATGTGCCACCATGCCTGGCTCATTTTTGTGTTTTTAGTAGAGACAGGGTTTTGCCATGTTGGCCAGGCTGGTCTTGAACTCCTAAACTCAGGAGATCTGCCCACCTCAGCCTCCCAAAGTGCTGGGATTACAGGTGTGAGCCACTGTGCCTGGCCTAGATTTAAGTCTTTAATCCATTTTGATTTGGTTTTTGTACAGTGATCTACATGTTCAGGGAATCTTCTCTATCAACAAACTATAGAAATGATCCCTAAAGTATAGTCTTTAACATTTATTTTTTTTGAGATGTAGTCTTGCTCTGTCGCTCAGGCTGGAGTGCAGTGGTGCAATCTTGGCTCACTGCTACCTCTGCCTCCCAGGTCAAGCAATTCTCCTGCCTCAGCCTCTTGAGTAGCTGGGGATTACAGGTGCCTGCCACCACACTTGACTAATTTTTGTATTTTTAGTAGAGACAAGGTTTCACCATCTTGGCCAGGCTGGTTTTGAACTCCTGAACTGGTGATCCGCTCGCCTCAGCCTTTCAAAGTGCTGGGATTATAGGCGTGAGTCACTGTGCCCAGACATCATTTCTTATAAAGAATATGTAGGGAACAAAACAAACAAAGAAAAATAAATAAACAAAGAAAACAACAACAACAAAGAATGTGTAGGAGGCCGGGTGCCATAGCTCACACCTGTAATCCCAGCAGCACTTTGGGAGGCCGAGGCAGGTGGATCACGAGGTCAAGAGATCAAGACAATCCTGGCCAACATGGTAAAACCCTGTCTGCACTAAAATATAAAAATTAGCTGGGGGTGGTGGCATGTGCCTGTAGTCCCAACTACTCAGGAGGCTGAGGCAGAATTGCTTGAACCTGGGAGGCAGAAGTTGCAGTGAGCTGAGATTGCATCATTGAGCTCCAGCCCAGCAACAGAGCAAGACTGTATCAAAAAAAATAATAATAGGCCGGGCTCGGTGGCTCACGCCTATAATCCCAGCACTTTGGGAGGCCGAGGTGGGTGGATCACGAGGTCAAGAGATCGAGACCATCGTGGTCAACATGGTGAAACCCCGTCTCTACTAAAAAAAATACAAAAAAGGCCGGGCACGGTGGCTCAAGCTTGTAATCCCAGCACTTTGGGAGGCCGAGGTGGGTGGATCACAAGGTCAAGAGATCGAGACCATCCTGGTCAACATGGTGAAACCGCGTCTCTACTAAAAATACAAAAAATTAGCTGGGCATGGTGGTGCGTGCCTGTAATCCCAGCTACTCAGGAGGCTGAGGCAGGAGAATTGCCTGAACCCAGGAGGCGGAGGTTGCGGTGAGCCGAGATCACGCCATTGCACTCCAGTCTGGGTAACAACAAGCCTGGGTAACAAGAGCGAAACTCTGCCTCAAAAAAAAAAAAAAAAAAAAAATACAAAAATTAGCTGGGCATGGTGGTGCACACCTGTAGTCCCAGCTACTCGGGAGGCTGAGGCAGGAGAATTGCTTGAACCCAGAAGGCAGAGGTTGCGGTGAGCTGAGATCATGCCATTGCACTCCAGTTTGGGTAACAACAGCGAAACTCAAAAAAAAAAAAATAATAATAATAATGTAGGAGCTAGGCATGGTGGTATGTGCTGGTAGTCCTGGCTACTAGGGAGGTTGAGGCTATAGGATGGCTTGAGCCTGCAATTCAAGGTTACAGTGAGCTATGATCGTGCCACCCTACTCCAGCCTGGTCAACAGAGCAAGACCTTGTGTCAAAAAAAAAAAGAATTGACCTAAGCAGCCACTTCAGCTGTCTTTTTTTTTTTTCTTTTTAAAAGAAATATAAGAAAGAGCCACAGGTTGAAGGCTAGGAATGTCAACATTTCAGCTGGGCTTGGTGGCTCATGACTGTAATTTCCAACATACTATGAGGCCAAGATGGGTGGATCACTTGAGGTCAGGAGTTTGAGACCAGCCTGGCCAACATGGTGAAACCCCATCTCTACTAAAAATACAAAATTAGTCGGGTGTGGTGGCACATGCCAGTAATCTCAACAACTCAGGGGGCTGAGGCAGGAGAATCACTTGAATCCAGGAGGCGGAGGTTGCAGTGAGCTGAGATCATGCCATTGCACTCCAGCCTGGGCAACAAGAGTGAAACTCCATCTCAAAAAAAAAAAAAGGAATGTCAACATTTCGAGGCCAGATAGAGAAAAACAGCTGGCAAATGATACAGAAAGAGCAATTCGAGTGGTAAGAGGAAAACCGCCTGAGGGTGCTGCTATCGTTTAATATGCTGCTGTGAATGCTAGTTAAAATGAGGACTCAAAAGTGATTATTAGGCGTGTGGTGGCTCTGGTGGCTCATGCCTGTAATCCAGCACTTCGGAAGGCTGAGGGAGTGTATCACCTGAGGTTAAGTGTAAAAGAGCAGCCTGGCCAATGTGGCGAAACTCCATCTCTACTAAAAATACAAAAATTACCCAGGTGTGGTGGTGGGTGCCATGCCTGTACAGCTGGTACATGTCTGTAATCCCAGCTACTCTGAAGGCTGAGGCAGGAGAATTGCTTGAATCTGGGAGGCAGAGGTTGCAATGAGCTGAGATCGCTACACTGCACTCCAGCCTGGACAAGAGCGAAACTCCATTATCAAAGGAAAAAAAAGTGCTATTGGATTGAGTAACCTGAAAGTCCTTGGTGATACTGGCAAGAGCAGTTTCTGTGCAGCATGGGAAAAAAACTTGATTTTTTTTTTTCTTTTTTAAAGACAGGGTTTCACCATCTTGGTCAGGCTGGTCTTGAACTCCTGACCTCACGATCCACTTGCCTTGGCCTCCCAAAGTACTGGGATTACAGGCGTGAGCCACCGTGCCCAGCCAAAAATTTGGGATTTTTTTTTTTTGAGTTGGAGTCTTGCTCTGTCGCCAGACTGGAGTGCAGTGGCGCAATCTCGGCTCACTGCAACCTCCGTCTCCTGGGTTCAAGTGATTCTTCCACCTTAGCCTCCCGAGTAGTTGGGACCACAGCCTCGTGCCACCAAGCCCGGCTAATTTTTGTATTTTTAGTAGAGACAGGATTTCACCATGTTGGCCAGGATGGTCTTACTCTCTTGACCTCGTGATCCGCCTGCCTCGACCTCCCAAAGTGCTGGGATTACAGACATGAGCCAGCACGCTGGGCTCAAAAACTTGATTTTAAAAATAAACTTGAAATAGAATGGGAAGTTAAAAAAATCCAGTGTATATAGACAATTCTTTTGAGAAGTGTGGCTTTAAAGGGAAAGAGATAATTAGTTTGTTGACTGGAGAGGAATGTAGAGCAGAAGGGTAGTTTTTTAAGAGAGTAAACTGATGAGTAGCTTCTCTTACACATGGCTGGAAATCTTGTAGAAGAAATTCTCAACTTTATTCCTTTTTTTTTTTTTTTTTTTAAGATGGAAGTCTCGTTTTATCACCTGGCTGGAGTACAGTAGCATAATTTCAGCTCTCTGCAACCTCTGACTCCCTCGTTCAAGCGATTCTCCTGCCTCAGCCTCCCAAGTAGCTGGGATTACAGGCATGTACCACCATGCCCAACTCATTTTTATATTTTTAGTAGAGATAGGGTTTCACTATGTTGGACAGGATTGTCTCCATCTCCTGACCTCATGGTCTCCCCGCCTCTAGCTCCCAAAGCTTTTTTTTTTTTTTTTTTTTGAGACGGAGTTTTGCTCTTGTCTCCCAATCTGGAGTGGAATGGCACGATCTCGGCTCACTGCAACCTTGGCCTCCCAGGTTCAAGCGATTCTCGTCTCAGCATCTCTAGTAGCTGTGATTACAGGCATATGCCACATGCCCAGCTATTTTTTTTTTGCACAGCTGATTTTTGTATTTTTAGTTGAGATGGGATTTTACCATGTTGGCCTGGGTGGTCTGAAACTCCTGACCTCAAGTGATCCGCCCGCCTCAGCCTCCCAAAGTGCTAGGATTACAGGTGTGAGCTACTACACCTGGCCTATCCCTTTTTTCTTACATGTTCAGCTTTCTGGTGGCTTCCCAGCACATTTCGAATAAAATCTAAATTCCTTACTTAGGCCTAGACAACCCAAGTGTTAGGCCTCTGCTTGTCTCTTTGCTTATCTCCTACCTTCCCCCTCTCTCAACTCCAGGCACATGGACATTGCTCAGGCCTTCTTGCTCTGGCAGGAAATGCTCTAGCATGGCTCCTTCATTAAAGTCTCTGCTCAAAATGTCACCCCCCCCTACACTGGGAGGCCTTTTCTGAGCCTTTTTTTTTTAAATTTTAGACACAGGGTCTCACTATACTGCTCAGGCTGGAGTTCTGAGCCTGATTTCTTTTCTTTTTTTTTTCTGTCAATCTATCAGCAATGAGTCTGCTTTCTAAAGTAGCAAGTCTCCCATTTTTCTCTACTCACTTATTATTACCTACCATTTGTTTACGTGCACATTATCTGTTTTCTCCACTGAAATACAATGTGCATGAGGGTAGAAACTTTGTCTTGTTCACTGCCATATTTCTAACACCTATACATAGAATAATGCCTGCTATTTAGTAAGCACTCAATAATTTCTTTTTTTAAAATACAGGGACTGGCTCTGTCGCCCAGGCTGGAGTGCAGTGGTGCAATCTCAGCTCATTGCAACCTCCACCTCTAAGCATAAGCCATCTTCCCACCTTAGCATCCCAAGGAACTGGGACCACAGGCACATGCCACCGAACCTGGCTCATTTTTGTATTTTCTGTAGAGATTGGGTCTTTTTTTTTTGAGACAATAGTCTTGCTCTGTTGCCCAGGCTAGAGTGCAGTGGCGCCATCTCAGGTCACTGTAGCCTCCACCTCTTGGATTAAATCAATTATTCTGCCTCAGCCTCCCAACTAGCTGGGATTATGCATCACCACACCCAGCTCATTTTTGTATTTTTAGTAGAGACAGGGTTTTACCACGTTGGCCAGGCTGGTCTCCAACTCCTGGCCTCAATTGATCTGCTCACGTTAGCCTCCCAAAATGCTGGGTTTATAGGCATGAGCCATAGTGCCCAGCCAAGACTGGGTCTCACTTTATTGCCCAGGATGGTCTTGAACTCCTGAGCTCGAGCGATCTGCCCTCCTTGGCCTCCCAAAGTACAGAATTCAATAAATATTTAAATGGCACTTAAATATTCAAGCAAATTATTGTTCTACTCACTGTATTATATTTACTTGGATTTTCCAAGTTTAATACACCATATTAATGGAGCAAAGGAATAAAAAATCCACATGATCACTTCAAAACACAGAAAAAGCATTTGACAAAATCTAATACCTTTTGGCAATAAAAACACTCAACAGGCCAGGCGCGGTGGCTCACTGCTGTAATCCCAGCACTTTGGGAGGATCATGAGATCAGGAGATCAAGACCATCCTGGCCAACACAGTGAAACTCTGCTGCTACTGAAAATACAAAAATGAGCCAGGTGTGGTGGTGCATGCTTGTAGTCCCAGCTACTCAGGAGGCTGAGGTAGGAGAAATCACTTGAACCCCCAGGAGGCAGAGGGTGCAGTGAGCCAAGATCATGCTACTGCACTCTAGCCTGGCAAGAGACTCCATCTCAAAAAAAAAAAAAACAAAAAACACTCAACAAACTAGAAATAAAAGTGAACATCTGCACAGAACAGTGGCTCATGCCTGTAATCTCAGCACTTTGGGAGGCTGAGGTAGGAGGATCCATTGAGGACATAAGTCTCTCTAATACACATTTGGATGTATGGCTCCCAGGTTAAACCTTTTTAGTGGTACCTCATTACCATTCAGATATGCTCCATGACATGGACTCTAGAATCCTCCAGTTCCTAAACACTTCATGCCCTATGACCAAATTGGTATTTCCCTTCAGATCCTTCCCTATCCAGTGTCAAGTGCTTTCTTCAGCCTTTGTATGAGTGGTAATGAGGTGCCACTAAAAGGGTTAAGCCTGGGAACCATACAATCAAATGTGTGTTTAGGGAGCCCTCAGTCAGGAGATTCCTGGCCTCAACCCCACAGAATCTTTCAATAGGCTCTGGGCTGACTGTAATAGGGTGACATCTTCTTTCTTTTGTTTTTGAGACAGTTTCACTCTTTTGCCCAGGCTGGAGTGCCACAGTGTGATCTCGGTTCACTGCAACCTCTGCCTCCTGGATTCAAGCAATTCTCTTGCCTCAGTCTCCTGAGTAGCTGGGTTTACAGGCACCAGCCACCACACCTGGCTAATTTTGTATTTTTAGTGGAGATGGGGTTTCCTCATGTTGGCCAGGCTGGTCTTGAACTCCTGACCTCGTGATCCACTGCACCCGGTTGCCATCTTAATAAGCATCTCATAGACATCAAATAAGTCATAGGAGTCTTCAGCTTGTCACTGGAACTATAGGCATGGATATAGCCTCCTGGAAAGAGTACAGAATCAGTACTACCCAGAGGCCAAAGATACAGTCATGTCCTTAGTCCCAGAAGGCTCAGACACATCCTGGGCCCTTTCCATACACTTAAACAGCTGATTCATTTTTTTCTCTTTATTGTTACAATGTATAAACACATAAAACAAAACAATAGGGATCCTCTTGGATCTGTAGGAAGACAGTAAGGTAGAAAGAGGTCTCAGAAAAATATTTTTAAAGTACAAGACATACAGTGCCAAAGGTGTAGACCAAAGGTGTAGAAGGTTTAGAGCCAGCAGAGCGCTGGACTAAAGGCTCCGTTTCTCTCCCCAGAGCCAGGACAACCCCAGGGAGCCCTCCACCAGCAGCCAGTCCACTGCTGAGAAGGCTCTATGCTGAGAGCATTCCCCACGATGGAAAGAAGGGCAACATGAAAAGGTGACTAAGAGCTCCTTCCTCCCTTGAGGGTGACAACTGTGGAAAAGGAAAGGAGTGTCCCATGGCACGCTGACCCTCTCCCCAACTGCCCAGGGCCCAGACGCCCCCATACTTAGCATTTGCCAGAAGTTGTCCCAGGTAAGACCCTGCCTAGACCCACGAGGTGCCCAAAGTTCTCTGGGGAGGGTTGGGAAGAGGCTGTGTGTCAAACCAAACAGTTCTTTATTTGCGGTCATCACTGGGGCCGTTTCTTACGGCTTATTTGTCTGCTAGCCTGCTCTTCCAGCTGCATGGCCAGGCGCAAGGCCTTGATGACATCTGGAAGAAAGAGGTGGTGGTAGATATGGGGTTAGTGAGTCTGAGGAGCCCTTATTTACTCAGGGCAGAGCTGCTGTCATCTGCAGCTGCCCAAGAGCCAACAGAGGCCACCATCGTCCACCTACACCCCATCCAGCCACACCCACCTTGCAGGGCTGAGAAGTGTTTGGCTTGCTGGGCCAGAGCAGATTCTGCTTTGTTCACAAAGTTCTCCAGGTCATAGTCTGGCTGCTCAGTCATCTCAGAGAGCTCAAGCCAGCCTGGTCCTTGCTACAACACAGGGAGGACCTTGTCAGTTCAATAACCATTTAGCAAATCATTCCTGGGGTCCTATGAACTGCAATGCAGACACCTGTGTAAGATGCCTTACCTCTGGTCCATGGCCCACATCCTGCCTGCTGACCCTCTCACCAAGGAAATCCCTAGCTTGAATTCATCCTCTTCCTACCCTAAACTTATCCCCATCTCCTATGGCAAATGAATGACATGATTGGTCCTGATGCCCAAGCCAGAAACTTCAGTGACTTTATTTTTTTTGTGATGGAGTCTCACTCTGTCACCCAGGCTGGAATGCAGTAGCATGATGTCGGCTTACTGCAACCTTCGCCTCCCAGGTTCAAGTGATTCTCCTGTCTCAGCCTCCCGAGTAGCTAGGATTACAGGCACACCCCACCACAACCAGCTAATTGTATTTTTAGTAGAGACAGGGTTTCACCATATTGGCCAGGCTGGTCGTGAACCACTAATCTAGCAATCCGCCCATCTTGGCCTCCCAAAGTGCTGGGATTACAAGTGTAAACCACCATGCCCAACCCAAGTGACTTTATTCTTTCACCCTATTTGTCAATAAATTCTCTTAATTCTGTTCCCTAAGTAGTTCTTTATTGTTTTTGTTGCACACATCATTTTGGGATATTTATTTTTATTTTGTGTGGAGATGGGGCCTCACCATGTTGCCCAGGCTGGTTGTGTGGGCTCAAGTGATCCTCCCGCCTTAACCTCCCAAAGTGTTGGGATTACAGGGATGACCCACTGCACTTGGCCAAATGATTCTTTTTAAATAACAGATATATAGCCAGGTGCAATGACTCACACCTGTAATACAAGCACTTTGGGAAGCTGAGATGGGTGGATCTCCTGAGGTCAGGAGTTCGAGACCAGCCTGACCAAAATGGAGAAACCCCGTCTCTACTAAAAATACAAAATTAGCTGGGCGTGGTGGTGCATGCCTGTAATCCCAGCTACTTGGGAGGCTGAGACAGGAGAGGAGAATCACTTGAACCTGGGAGGCAGAGGTTGCCATGAACCAAGATCACACAATTGCACTCCAGCCTGGGCAACAAAAGCAAAACTCTGTCTCAAAAAACAAACAAACAAAAGTAACAGATATAGGCCAGGCATGGTAGCTGACACCTGTAATCCCAGCACTTTGGGAGGCTAAGGCAGGCCTTGAGGTCAGGAATTCAAGACCAGCCTAGTCAACATGATGAAACCCTGTCTCTACTGAAAATACAAAAATCAGCTGGGGCTGGGTGGTGTGGCTCATACCTGTAATCCCAGCACTTTGAGAGGCTGAGGCAGGTGGATCACTTGAGGTCAGGAGTTCAAGACCAGCCTGGCCAACATGGTGAAACCCCATCTATACTAAAAATATGAAAAATTAACCAGGCACAGTGGCATGTGCCTGTAATCCCAGGTACTCAGGAGGCTGAGGCAGGAGAATTGCTTGAACCTGGGAGGAGGAGGCTGCAGTGAGCCGAGACTGATCCACTACACACTAGCCTGGGTGACAGAGTGAGAAACAAAAACATATATATAGAGAGTACTTATTTTGGGGGAGGAGGTATATGTAAGATTTTAATGCTTGTATATCTAAATGGTTTCTGAATCTCATGCCCTCATTCCAATCCCATGACCACAGACACAGAAACTAGGCATGAGTTTCTCTTTTTTTTTTTGAGACGGAGTCTTGCTCTGTCACCCAGGCTGGAGTGCAGTCACGTGAACTCAGCTCACTGCAACTTCTGCCTCCCATGCCTCCCAGGTTCAAGCAATTTTCCTGCCTCGGCCTCCTGAGTAGCTAGGATTACAGGCGCCAGCCACCACACCACTAATTTTTTGCATTTTCAGTAAAGATACTATTTCACCATGTTGGTCAGGCTAGTCTTGAACTCCTGACCTCGTGATCCACCTGCCTTGGCCTCCCAGAGTGCTAGGATTACAGGCGTGAGCCACTGCGCCTGGCCGACACGAATTTCTCTTGAACCCTTTCCAACAATCTCCTAACTGCCTCTACCTTTGCTTTTCCCAAGCCTCCAAAGCAGACTCCACATGGTGGCCACATGATATATCTAAAGCTCTGATATGACCATGTCACCACTATGCTTAACACCCTCCAAAGGCTTCCACTGTCCTCATGATGCAGTCCAGGCCTGTGAGATGAACCATCTAGAAGGCTCTTTAGCATCAGATCCCTGCTGACCTGTCCACAGCCTTAATCACCCTCTATCACCTGTTCACTGCTTTTGCTCTAACCATGCTTAGCCTCTCATTTATCCTCAAAGTGCCATGTCCTTCAAAACTTTGTAACCCTGAGCACTCCAGGAAGGGGAGGCCATGCCTGAGCACTTATCCTTCACAGTCCCTCCTTAGTTAAACCTGCCCCAAGTTCTTCCTTCCTGCTCTGCAATCCTCTGAGTGCCCTGCCATTAGGACATGAATTCCTGCCTCCCTGTTACTTGCTCTTCCTCAGTAGGGATTACAGTAGCAGTGGCACCTACCACTTACTAAACCCTGACCACACACTGGGCACTTTATAAGCATATTACTTTTCCTTCGTAGTGCTTAAAAAAAAAAAAAAAGAAAAAAGAACCAAGCGTATTACTGAATCCTCAAATACAGCCATCCTACCTTGACTATTTTAGAGATGCAAAAACTGAGGCCCAGTGAGGCTAAATGACCTTCACAAGGAAATCAGCTTTTTTTTTTTTTTTAGATGGAGTTTCGCTCTTGTTGCCCAGGCTGGAGTGCAATGGCGCGATCTTGGCTCACCACAACCTCCACCTCCTGGGTTCAGGCAATTCTCCTGCCTCAGCCTCCTGAGTAGCTGGGATTTCAGGAATGCACCACCATGCCCAGCCAATTTTTTGTATTTTTAGTAGAGACGGGGTTTCACCATGTTGACCAGGATGGTCTCAATTTCTTGACCTCGTGATCCACCCGCCTCAGCCTCCCAAAGTGCTGGGATTACAGGCGTGAGCCACCGTGCCTGGCGGAAATCAGCTTGTTAATGGAAGAGTCAGGATTGATCTCAAGTCTTACCTTAGGGCCTATTAGCTATACTTCATGTTTTTGGCCCTTGGTTTCAGCACAAAAGCTGCAACATTCACCAAAAAAAAAAAAAAAAAAAAAAAAAAACAAGACAAGGTCTGTGCATATGGATCACCCTCCAAATCCTCAATCAGGAGCACAGAGGAGAGACTGGCTCTCGTTAGGGTGATGTCAGCAAACTTATGAGTGTCAGCCTGCAGAAGGGGATGTGACAATTAGAAGAACAGCCGAGTTAATAGGCAAAGAATTAAGGAGTGCTGGTATAGAGGGCTGCTTCTTGCCACCTCAACCTAAACACCTGTGGGAATAAGGCCCAGGTCATGTTCTGGGGATGGTGTGGAGCATTCTAAGGGCCGTGCTGGGGTAGCTATCCAGCTCCCTGGCCAGGGCCAGCTGCCTACCTGTATGATCTCCTTGAGCTCTTCCATGGCCCTCTCCTCCAGCTCCCTGATCTGAGTCATGGCTTCATTAAAGCTGGACAACTGGGAAGACAGTTCTTCTTCTTCCTTGGATAACTGAGGGGGCCAAAAGGAGAGACAATTGTGTGACCCAGTTGCCACCTCAGCAGGCCACACTTCTGTCTTGCTCAGCCCCATCTTGCCCCTTACATTGCCTGGAATCAGTGTCCCGTTAGAGCAGGCTTCCATCTCTTCTATTTCCATTTGAATCGACTGTTCTCCACTGGGCCCACTGTGGGGGCTTAGCTCCTTGACCCTGAGGAAACAAGGAGGTCTCCGATCCCACAGCAGGTCCCTTGGTACTCACCACAGGAGCACAGCACCACCCAGACTTTGAAGCTTGAGGCTTGAAGGGGATGGAAGCAGCCTTGCCTTCAGCCAAGGAAAGATGGCATAGACTAAAGCTGGACTGGAAAAGACCCTCACCCTGCTGACTCCCCAGCAGGGCCCAGAAAGGACTGGGACAGACCTAGTAGCATCATGACTGACCTCTCAAGCCTCAGGTTCAGAGTCACACAGGAGTATACAGTAGGCCCTGAGGCCCCAGAGCCTCCTTCCCTCTCATCACTGCCCTTCCCTTGTCCAGTCCTGTTCTCCATCCCACCAACCATAGGTACTAGTACCTGTCTGCATATCTCAGTGTGTTTAAAGTATAGTCACAGGAGCTTATGCCCGGTGAGATCATGGCAATCTGCAAAAGACGGGTGGGTGATTAAAGGCTGAGAATCACAGGTGCGAACACTAGATAGCCTGCCCCCAAGGGGCCTCCAATCGGGGAGTCTCTTCAAGCTGTGGAGACCCACATGGTATTGGCGGGAGGACTCATTTAGCACTGTGCTGTGCTAGGCCACTTGCCCCATGGGCATTGCAATTTAAGATGCCTTAGACATTGGTTTCCTGCTTTCAAAGGCACATCTAATTATCTTTTGCTTCTTTATTCCTTTACTGTGACAGTCTTGCTACCAAGGTCCTATCTTTTTTTTTTTTTTGAGATAGTTTCGCTCTTGTTGCCCAGGCTGGAGTGCAGTGGTGCAATCTTGGCTCACCATAACCTGTGCCTCTTGGGTTCAAGCGATTCTCCTGCCTCAGCCTCTCAAGTAGCTGGGATTACAGGCATATGCCCCCATGCCTGGCTAATTTTGTATTTTTAGTAGGGACAGAGTTTCTCCATGTTGGTCAGGCTGGTCTCAAACTCCCAACCTTAGGTGATGTGCCCACTTTGGTCTCCTGAAGTTCTGGGATTATAGGTATGAGCTACTGCACCCAGCCCAAGGTCCTATCTTAAAGCTCTGTGGCTTCTGCTGGAAACTTTAGTTCTCTTAGGCCAAGGGATAATGCCTTAGGTAAAAGGGTTTAGAGCTTAGCCAGAAGATCCCACCTTCTTCATGAAAAGGCCCCTACCCAAAGTGTAGGGGAGAATGTTCTCTTGAAGGGCGGGATGGCAGATCTAACAAACAAGGACTTGGGGATAAAACTGGGAAGAGGAAACCATCATTCCAGGACAAAGCCACCCGGGCACGGTGGCTTACGTCTGTAATCCCAGAACTTTGGGAGGCTGAGGCAGGTGGACCACCTGAGGTCGGGAGTTTGAGACCAGCCTGACCAACATGGAGAAACCCCATCTCTACTAAAAATACAAAAATTAGCTGGGCATGGTGGCTCATGCCTGTAATCCCAGCTACTCAGGAGGCTGAGGCAAGAGAATCGCTTGAACCTGGGAGGTGGAGGTTGTAGTGAGCTGAGCTGAGATCACACCGTTGCACTCCAGCCTGGGCAACAAGTGCGAGAGTCCATCTCAAAAAAAAAAAAAAGGACACAGCCTTATATGACCCAGGCTATTTGTTTTCTAGGCTGGGAGTCAGTGAACCTGAGGGAAGCCATGAAGAGACAAGGACTGCCCTCTCCTGCTGACCCAAAGGCCCATATTCTGAATTCTGAAACCCCCTTTTCATCAGGTAATGGAGGAATGACCTCTCCCAAACCAAGAGCTGCACCTACACATCTTAAAGGAAGTAGATCCTTTCCTCCCCACTTGGTTAGGCGGTGAGGAGGGTGGTGCATTAAAGCAGGGTCTGGAAGCCCAGTCATATTAGAGCCTGGAAACCCAGGCAGCCAGCAGTGCTGAGCTTCCTGCCCAGGACGTCCTGCTGTTTCTGTGGAAAGCAACTCTGTCTTGTCTTGCATCATCACGTTCAAAGTGACCCTACTCACCATGCAAGTCCTAGAGTTCTCCCCGATGAAGGAGTCTCTCAGCACCTGTGTCAGCTTGCTCTCACGGAATGGGGTGTGAGCCTTGTTCTGTCCCAGGGCCCTGATGCACTCCTATAGGGGGCAGCAGGAACAATTGAAGTCCCTTCTTTCCTTTCACTGACCACTCCCTATCCCTTCCCAGCAGCTCTCCTGGACAACCAGCTGTAGCTGCCCCACTACCTTCAGGGCTAAGAGACTCTTGTTGATCTCTGCACCCTCCATGCGGGTCTGCCGGTCAGCACTGGAAGTGTCTGCACCTCGCTCATTCCCTGCCAGATCTACCAAAGAGAACTTGCCATGCATTCTCCCTTTGGCTCGAAGAAGAATCTGGAAGCAGGCGTGGGAGCGGGAGGAATTGGAGTTGGCAAATGTCTGCCCAGAGGTTCTGTGGTAAAGAAAGGTTATGAGATTCTGGGGTCACCAGCCCCTATGGCACCCCAGTCCAAAGAAGTTCTCTAGGAAGGGAGGGACACAAGTCAGGAGGTGAAGTCGTGTGTCTTCCTGTCCCAGGCTTCCAACTTGCACTTCCTAGGTAACAGTTCTCTCTCTAGCTCTGGGCCTAATACATTTTCCTGGCAGCCAAATTAGTACTAGATTCTGGAGTAGGGCGTTTGCCAGACCTGGGGGCCTAGAAGGAGATGGGGAAGGATAAACTGCCTCTGCTAAAGGGCCCACAGGGAAGGGGGAAGCTGTTATGAACCACCTGCCAGAACTTGACCCTGTAGAGGGCAGCCCCCTCCCTGGGCATCCATAGCTGCCTAGCACCCCACTATAACAATGTCTATAGCCCTAGTGGAAAAGTGCTCCCCTACTTCTCTGCAGAGAGGCTGTGAACTCGTTACTTCCAGCCCAGAACAGACCCAGAGCTCCTGACTTCCACCATAAAGGAAGGGAGAAGCAAGGAGGAACCCAGAGAAGCCAGGAAGCATGCCTCTGGGGTAACACTTTGACTTGTTTTTATTTTTATTTTTTTTGAGACAGGGTCTCACTCTGTCATGCAGACTGGAGTGCAGTGTGCAATCATAGCTCACTGCAACCTGAAACTCCTGGCCTGAAGTGATCCTCCTGCCTTGTTTTCCCAAATTGCTGAGATTATAAGTGTGAGCCACTGTGCCTGACCTGACTTGGTTCTGATAAGCCTCTGGCCCTGGCTTATATGTCTTATTGAGACCCCATAAAGCAGAGGCCTTCGAAGCCCTTACCAAACTGGGGAAAGCAGCACTCTGTGGAAACAGAAATGCGCTCAGAGCTAGACTCTACTCATGAATCAGACATGAGGTCACTCCTTCCCCTCACCAGGACTCTGACCTGCAGGCGCTGCCCATGTCGATCATCTTGATGACATCATCAGCAGAGTTAACCAGGTGCTCCTGCAGCCCCACCACCTGCACCTGTTGCTTGCCGTCCTCCAGCACACGCAGCTTGGCCTTCTTGTTGAGCAGGTCAAACAGCTGTGCCAGGGAGGGGGAATGAGGCTAAAGCCACTGGACACCGGGCACCCCACCCGACTGCTCCCTCCTATAGAACCTGCTCAGCTCAGACAGGAGCTAGCAGCAGGAAAGGCAGAGAGTATGAACTGATGGATGCTGGCCTAGCAGAGGATAATATACTTGGAACCTGAGCCAAACTGCCTCAGTTTGCTGTAACTCTGCTACCTTATTAGCTGTGTGAGCTAATAAGGCAAGTTAACAACCACTCTAGCTTTGCATCTCATTTGTAAAGCTGAGAAAAGTAAAGTGCTTAGAATGGTGTATAGCTTCTCTCTTTTTTTTTTTTTTTTTTTGAGACGGAGTTTTGCTCTTGTCACCCAAGCTGGAGTGCAATAGCACAATCTTGCCTTACTGCAACCTCCGCCTCCTGGGTTCAAGCGATTCTCCTGCCTCAGCCTCCTGAGTAGCTGGGACTGCAGGCGCCCACCACCACACCCAGCTAATTTTTTTGTATTTTTAGTAGAAACAGGGTTTCACCATATTGGCCAGGCTGGTCTTGGGACTCCCAACCTCAGGTGATCCGTCCACCCCAGCCTCCCAAAGTCCTGGGATTACAGGCGTGAGCCACCATGCCCGGCCCCTAATATCTTATGAGTGAGAAATATTAGCTATTTTTATTATCTAGATCCCAGTTTAGGGAAGGCAACTCTGCAGAAGCACAGTGAATAGAGAGATAGAAAGAGATATATTGGGGTGCAGAGGGGGAAAGAATGAATATGAGACTGAATGTGCACAATCAGGGAAGAAGTGATGAAGGAGGTAGGTTGAGGGAGGTCAGGGCACACACAGGCAAACCTTGCACCTGTGAGGGGGCCCTGAGGAGTATTTTCACAATACTTGTTGAACTTAGGTGCCATCTCACCATCAGATTAAACCACCTACACATGCCAGAGCAGAGTGGCCCGTCAGTGGCTTAACAGCTTCTAGCCAACTTCAAGGTTTTAAAAAGTTCAGGGCCCCAACAGCATAAACAAGGGGCTTCCTGCCAGCTACCTTCCCATTGTAGATCTCGAAGAATGTCACATAGACTTCCAGGCCCAATTTCCGGTAGCAGGGTTGATTCTTCAGGAGGAAGACGTCCCGGGCTGAGGGAGAGAAGCTGGCTAAGCAAGCAACCTGCCTTTCAATGCCCAACCCTGAAACAGCAGTACACAGTACTTACAGGCCATGGCATAGATCCCTTTAGATGCATTCTGAGCTTTCCCAGAGAGGTCTCCACCCATAGTCTGCAAAAGGAAGGGGTAGAAGACCATGGAATAGGGCCATTGGCCTAGGACAGAGCACTACTGGCTCCATCACCACAGTAGGCCACAAGGCCAGAAGTCTGCACCTAAAGCCCCTCCCTGCATCTGACATGGCAAGGCTATCTGGTGCAAGGGGACTTTTTTTTTTTTTTTTTTTTAAGACAGAGTCTTCTCTGTCTGTGGCCTAGGCCAGAGTGCAATGGTGCAATCTTGGCTCACTACAACCTCTGCCCCCCCAGGTTCAAGCAATTCTCCTGCCTCAGCCTCCCGAGTAGTTGGGATAACAGGTGCCCACCATGCCAGGCTATTTTTGTATTTTTTTTTTTTTTTTTTTTTGAGACGGAGTTTTACTCTTGTTACGCAGGCTGGAGTGCAATGGCGCCATCTCGGCTCACTGCAACCTCCGCCTCCTGGGTTCAGGCAATTCTCCTGCCTCAGCCTCCTGAGTAGCTGGGATTACAGGCACACGCCACCATGCTCAGCTAATTTTTTTGTACTTTGAGTAGAGACGGGGTTTCAACATGTTGACCAGAATGGTCTCGATCTCTTGACCTCATGATCCACCCGCCTCGGCCTCCCAAAGTGCTGGGATTACAGGCTTGAGCCACCGCGCCCGGCCTATTTTTTGTATTTTTAATAGAGACTGGGTTTTGCCATGTTGGCCAGGCTGGTCTCAAAATCCTAACCTCAGGTGATCCACCCACCTTGGCCTGCCAAAGTGCTGGGATTACAGGCATGAGCCACCGTGCCTGGCTGGGGCCTTTCTTAAGAAATTCACTGTCTCCCTTTGTGGGAACCCAGGGTTGTACAATGGAAAGGCTCTTTCCCTTCCAGGCCTCAATACTCACATGTGTCTTGCCACTTCCTGTCTGGCCATAAGCAAAACAAGTTGCTTTTCCACCTTCAAAGATTGTCTGTACCAGTGGCCTTGCTGTGAACCTAGGAGAAGAGGGGTAGAGTATTTGTATCTGTTCTCAAAATGTGCTCCCTGGAATATGACCTGCCACCCTTCCACTGCAGAGTTCTCAGGGTTGATTCCTCCTTTTAAGAATAGCATTCTGCTACTGGCTCAGTGGTCCCACCTGACCCCAACCATACTTACAAATCTGAAATACTCCTAGCAAACTAGTGGTGGGATGAGGGTTGGGGGAGCACTAGACTGACTACACAGGAGCAAGCTGATGGCTCATGCTCTAAGCCATCTGACCTTTTCTCTGACTCTGGAAACACAGGATGAAAGTCTAAGTTCAGCATCCAACTTTCAGCAGAAGACACACCAGTGGCTGAGCATGATGGCTTATGCCTATAATCCCATCATTTTGGGAGGCCAAAGTGAGCAGACCCGAGCTCAGGAGTCTGAAACCAGCCTGACCAATATGGTGAAACCCTGTCTCTACTAAAAATACAAAAATTAGCCAGGTGTGGTGGCATGTGCCTGTAATCCCAGCTACTCGGAAGCTGGGACAGGAGAACTGCTTGTACCCGGGAGGCTAGGGCCGGGCGCAGTGGCTCACTCCTGATTTTGGAAGGCCAAGGTGGGAGGATGACTTTAGGTCAGGAGTTCGAGACTGGCCTGACCAACATGGCAAAACCCCGTCTCTACCAAAAATACAAAATTAACCGGTGTGGTGGCAGGCCCCTGTAATCCCAGCTATGTGGGAGGCTGAGGCAGAAGAATCACTGGAAGCTGGGAGGTGAGGCTGCAATGAGCCAAGATTGTGCCCCTGCACTCCAGTCTGGGCAACAAGGGAGAAACTCTGTCTAAAAAAAAAAAAAAAAAAAAGCAGAAGAGCAGATAGAGCAGATCTGGAGTTCTCCAAGTCTGTGAAGCCCAGTGGGCAATGGCGTGCCTGCATAAGGCACCGGAAGAACCCCTGGAGTCTGGCCAACCCTGCCTCAGCCTGTAACGGGTGATACCTTATTCAGGATCCACTCAAGGATGGGCCGCAAAGCTGTAAAAGGGTATGACCCAAAGAAAACACAAGAAGCAGGGAAGAGCCTCAGAATTCAGCATGTCTGTCCATTGTGTTGCCAAAATGTCTCATAACAAAAGGGGATGGAGGGGCACAAAGAGGGAAAAACGGATACAAGGACTAACCTATAGACGACTTCATTTGAAGCTGTTTCATCAAATGCAAAGTCAAAACAGAATGCTTGGTTCTCCAGATACTTTGTTAAGTCCACTTTCAACTTGGGTTCATGTACTAAGAGGAGACACTTGCTAGGAATGGAAATCACATCAATTTCTTTCTTGGCCAATTCTGCAGAAGGAGAGTATTTCAAGGGGTGCTCTGTGGAAACAGAAGGCCCCTTAGTCTGAAGCCTCTTCCTGATAGAACGAGACTTACCTTGCTTATTCAGTGGGCGTTTCCTAACACAGACACATATTCTGTGCTCTTCGATCTGTAAGCAGATGATAGGAGGCAACCAACAGCAAAGGGTGAGAGCAATTTAAAAAGCAAGCTTGTCCAGAACTCCCACTCCTTTCAATCCCATGTCTGGCCCATTCAGAGGCCAAGATCTAACACTAGGACCCCTGCATCCTCAATTAGATACTCCAGAGCATGAGAAGACAGCGCTAGATTTTGTTCCCCTTTTTCTCACTCTGCTGCCTATAGGAGTTTCAGCACTACTTTCCTGATTCTTACTAATGCAGCAATCTAGCCAACCTATGGTAGTAGTGGTGGAACCCAGTTTATAAAGCTCAGACTCCTCCCATGTGGGCCTCACTAGCTCCAGCCCTCCAAAAGGTATTAAAAAATAATCTCAGCCAGGCATGGTGGCTCATGCCTATAATCCCAACACTTTGGGAGGTCAAGGCGGGTGGATCGCTTGAACCCAGAAATTTGAGATTGGCCTGGGCAACATGTTGAAACCCTGTCTCTACCAAAAATACAAAAAATCAGCAGAGCGTGGTAGAATGCGTTTGTGGTCTCAGCTACTTGGGAGGCTGGAGTGGGGAGGATCACTCTAGCTCAGGGAGGTTGAGGTTGCAGTGATTCAAGATCGTACCACTGCACTCCAGCCTGGGTGACAGAGTGAGACCCCCATCTCAAAAAAAAAAAAACCCTCAACGGTGAGTAAAGATTCCTGCATGCCCTCATTCCTGTACAGTTTTTTGTCCCTCAATTGTATACTTACTCAAGGAAGAGAAGTCTTTGGATGTACTTACAGGATCAGTCATAGTAAGTGGATGACATTCCAAAGTAGCCCGAAATTCTTTAATCATTCGGGCAAATTCCCAGTTTGGAAAACTACTGTCATACTCCTGGTTTGAGATGAGAGTGAAAAAGGGCAGACTGTTAAGATATAAGTTCCCTCAGACCTCTATGCAGCAGCAGCAACAGCTCTTTGCTCACCACCCTTCATAGTTGTCAAAGTCCCCACCCTGGCTCTAGGTCAAGAACTCAGAACCCTGGGGAAGAGATTGGCAGAGAGGCTTGAGGATACACCAAAGCACGCTAGGAACTGGGACTAGGCCAGTTCCACATTTTAGGAGGCACGGCAGCAGACTGGGCTTCCTAAAAGGAATTAACCAAGTTAAGGGGACCATACTGCAGTCCCTGCCCTCCAAAATGTACAGCCTTGGGGAAGGTGAGAAAAATTGGACCAACTGTGCCCTTCAGTCCCTCTGGCCGTCATCCATGTGAGCATGTGATGGGTTTGCTTACTAGACAATCAGCATTAAATATTCCTCATCTGAGGGCCTTCAGGAAAAATTCTGAATTATTTGTTCTCTGAATCCTGATAAGAAACCAGTTAAATTTCTTGGATATCAGAATTGGAGCCTCAGAGGTCAGGCTCAGTGGCTCATGCCTATACTCCCAGCACTTAGGAAGGCCAAAGCAATTGAATCACTTGAGGCCAGGAGTTCCAGACCAGCATGGGCAAAATAGTGAAACTCTGTCTCTACTAAATGTACAAAAAATTAGCTGGCACACGCCTGTAATCCCAGCTACTTGGGAGGCTGAGGCACAAGAATCACTTGAATCTAGAAGTGAAGGTTGCAGTGAGCCAAGATCACACCAGTGCACTCCAGCTTGGGTGACAGAGCAAGACTCGGTCTCAAAAAAAAAAAAAAAAAGAATTGGGGCCTCAAGAACTGCAGCCTCAGAAATGCTGGGGCCCAGCTCTATCTTTGTTGCCTGCAGGGTTTCGGTTAAGGATACCTGTCCAAAAACCCTTGCCCTAGCCTCCCAAGAAAGGTACCTGAGCTCGCTTCATTCTCATTTCAGAGTTCGAGGCCTTCTTCTCTTCTCGCTTGTTCTTCATTTTTTCCACTTCCTTCACAATACATGATTTCCTCCGAACTACAAAAAAATAAAAATAAAAAAAAGGAAAAACACTCTGTTACCAGTCTAGGCCAGATTACTACTCTTCTCTGGCTACTACTGAGTACTGGGTCTTTCCCAGGCAGAGGCCTTCTCTAGATCCTTACTCTTAAATCACTATATGCAAAGAGAAGAAGAAATAGATGTGACTCTCTGGATGGGCAAGTCCACAAAGTAGTGACCTGGCCAATATGAAGTCAAATAGTGATAACAGCACTCCAGTTCCAACCCAAGCTCTCCCAATGCCTCTTGGCTGTTTTCTCAACAACCACAGAGGTGAAACAGTCCTTGCTTTGTCTTTTTTTTGAGACGGAGTCTTGTTCTGTCACCAGGCTAGAGTGCAGTGGTGCAATCTCAGCTCTCTGCAACATCCACCTCCCAGCTTCAAGTGATTATCCTGTCTCAGCCTCCTGAGTAACTGGGACTACAGGTGCACACCACCATGCCAGCTAATTTTTTGTATTTTTAGTAGAGACGGGGTTTCACCATGTTGGCCAGGATGGTCTTGATCTCTTGATCTCGTGATCCACCTGCTGGGATTACAGGCATGCGCCACATGCCTGGGATTACAGGACTCCCACAGTGCTGGGATTACAGGCATGCGCCACAACGCCCAGCCCCTTGTTTTGTCTTCATAATGAAAGATTCATTCCATGGCCAGAGGAAAACATGCCCCCTTGTGACAAACAGGGCTTTAACTCAGGGGCTAAGGTAGGTCAGGTTTAGGACAGGATGTTATCTGTGCCTCACTAGAAGCAGAACAGCAGATAGCTCAATGTGTCTACCTGAGTTCACAGGGTTTGCAGAAGAGCTGCCTCGGACGGAATGGACTTGCTCTTCCACCTCCTCGCTGACCATCGTCAATGGTATTTCAGCCACTGCAGAGCAGGAAGGCCTAGGGGGCCCTGCTGTGGAGGGGGAACAATAGTCATTGGAGAAGCAGGCAGGTGTACCACAGGCTGAGCGCATGTCCTCACCTGAGCGCATGGCCCTGGTTATGGGCCAGGAGGGCTCCAACCTGCCTGGCTCAGCAAGGCTCTTATAGTATGTGCAAAGCTTGCACTTTTCCCTTCACCTCGGCCTGTACTCTGACCTTGACCACGCTTTCTGCAAGGGCTGGCTCCTGGGGTCAAAATATCTTAAAGTGTATGTGAATATTCAGCATGGGCTTCAACATGAAGGGAAAAGCCTGTGAAGGCCTGAATGCTTTACACTTCGCCCAAGCATGGGTTCGTTCTCAGGTCAGGCCAGGCCTGGCCTTAGGGAGAAAAGCCAGGCCTTTCTGACTTCTCCAAAGCCTCAGGAACCCAGGTGGTTTAAAGGAGCAAAGACTGAAAAGCCAAGGTGACAGGGAACTGGAGCAACAACTAACCAGACTGATTCAATACAGAAAGGTCCAGTCCACAACACCTTATTACTTCCCATACCTGGTCATGACCCATTCAATTACCTTAATCCTATTAGAGTTTAATTTGATATATGTAAAGTGTAATGGTTGTGTGTCTTACCAAATTTGCATCTACTTTATATAATTATTAAAGACTGACAAACAATTCACATTAAAAATTATTTATTTTTATTAATTTTCCACACCTCACCTAGCTCATTTAAAAGTTTTTAAATTCAATTTATATAAAGTACAAAAAGGGCTGGGCATGGTAGCAGATGCCTTAATCCAGCACTTTTGGAGGCCCAGGCAGGTGGATCACGAGGTCAGGAGTTTGAGACCAGCCCGGCCAACATGGCGAAGTGATCAGCTCGCCTCGGCCACCCAAAAAGTGCTGAGGCTACAAGTGTGAGCCACTGCAGGCAGGCAGATCACTCTGTCTCAAAAAAAAAAAAGTATAAAAAGAGGGCCTGGCATGGTGGCTCATGCCTGTAATCCCAGCACTTTGGGAGGCCAAGGTAGGTGGATCACCTGAGGTTGGGAGTTCGAGACCAGTGTGACTAATATGGAGAAACCCCATCTCTACGAAAAATACAAAATTAGCTGGGCATGGTGGTGCATGCCTGTAATCTTAGCTACTTGGGAGGCTGAGGCAGGAGAATCACTTGAACCTGGGAAATGAAGGTTGCAGTGAGCCAAGATGGCACCATTGCACTCCAGCCTGGGCAACAAGAGTGGAACTATGTCTAAAAAAAAAAAGGTACAAAAAGAGGGCCAAGTGCAGTGGCTCACGCCTGTAATCCCAGCCCTTTAGGAGGCTGAGGTGGGCGGATCACTTGAGACCAGGAGTTTAAGACAAGCCTGGCCAACATAGTGAAACCCCACCTCTACTAAAAATACAAAAATTAGCCGCACATGGTGGCGCACACCTGTAGTCCCAGCTACTCAGGAAGCTGAGGTGGGATAATTGGTTGAACCCAGGAGGCAGAGGTTGCAGTAAGCCAAAATCACACCACCGCACTGTAGCCTGGGTGACAGAGTGATATTCCATCTCAAAAAATAAATACATAAATAAATAAAATAAAGTATAAAAAGAATAAAGCTAATTAATGCTATTAGAAGTCAGGATTACGTGTACCTTTGGGGGGATTAGGAGCTGGAAATGTGCCCAACAGGGAAGTAGTGGTAATGCTCTGATCATGTTAGCTACATGAGTGTGTTCAGTTTATGAAAATTCACTGAACTATATACTCAATGCTATGTGTACTTAGACCTTAGCTGTGACAACTCCTCAACTGTGTCAGAGGGCTCCTGCCCAGTCTCACTTCTTGTGACTGATTACATGGCCACAGAAAACATGCCCCAATGTGACAAACAGGGCTTGAACTCAGATGCTCTGAAGTACTGGTAATGCTCTGATCATGTTAGTTACATGAGTGTGTTCAACTTATGAAAATTCACATAACTGTATACTCAGTGCTATGTGTACACGTGTGTGTGTGTGTTTCAATTAAATCTTTAAAAAAAAGAGATGATTTCCAAATAAGAAAGCCATGTTGGTAGGGCAGGAGCAGACCAGTACTGAAGCTGGGGGAATGGATGAATCTTAGGATATTCCAGCACAGGGACAGAGCAATGTGAGAGGATCCTGCTCCAGGTCCTCAAACAGGGAGAGCACATTCATTACTCACGAGGAATTGAAAACTGTTTGCGGGAGTTTGCAGCTGCAGGCAGCTCCACCTCCATATCATTCTCCTGAGCAGTGACACGACGCTCTGAGACAGTGGACATGCGAATGGAACGGCTTCGAAGACCTGGAGAACCATGAGCAGTAGCCACTCAGTGCTGCATGATCTGGAGGGCGGTCGGGGCAAACCTCCAAGTTTCCATACAAGGTGAAATAGGTCCCAGCCACCAGGAAAGGGGCCCACCAACTTCCCATATTCCTTCCACCCAAAGAAAGGAAAAATTAGAAAGACCAAGTACCAGTAACCCCAAAACCTATTTGTCCACATTGTGCAAATCCAGGAGCTCCTGAGGGCAAAGATATCTCCCACAAAGAGCATTTGTCTTGAGTAAGTACAGGGACCTATAGCCACCCTGAAAACATTTCTGGTGAGAGACCTAATCCAAGTCCTTGAGAAAAAGTATTATGCATCATTGTTTTGAGACAGAGTCTCACTCTGTCACCCAGGCTGGAGTGCAGTGGTGTGATCTTGACTCACTGCAACCTCTGCCTCGCAGGTTCAAGGGATTCTTATGCCTCAGCCTCCCAAGTAGCTGGGATTACAGGTGTATACCATGCTTGGCTAATTTTCTATTTTTAGTAGAGACAGTATTTCATCATGTTGGTCCAGATTGGTCTTGAACTCCTGACCTCAAGTGATCCACCCGCTTTGGCCTCCCAAAGTGCTAGGATTACAGGCATAAGCCTGGCCCAGTATTATGAATCTGAACCATAGCAGTATCTCCCATTATACAATCTTCCTATACCTCAAGACATCATAAGGTTAAGTCCTTTCATGAGGACTTAACTCATGGAAGAGGTCATTCAGGTTCAGAGACATTAAGTAACCTGTCCAATGTGACTCTGCTAGTAAATAAATGGCAGTGCCAGGACATGAACCCAGGGCTGTCAAATTACAGAGCTAGGCCAGGGCCACATCATAAGAAACCCCTGGTATCAGCTATATTGATTTTCTGGAGTCTTTAAAACATGCTGGCTGGGCATGGTGGCTCACACCTGTAATCCCAGTACTTTGGGAGGCTGAGGCGGTAGATCACGAGGTTAGGAATTCAAGACAAGCCTGGCCAAGATGGTGAAACCCCATCTCTACTAAAAATATTAAAAAATTAGCCAGGCACAGTAGCAGGTGCCTGTAATCCCAGCTATTTGGGAGGCTGAGGCAGGAGAGTTGCTTGAACCCAGGGGCAGAGGTTGTAATGAGCAGACCACACCACTGAACTCCAGCCTGGGTGACAGAGTGAGGCTCTGTCTCAAAAAAAAAAAAAAAAAAAACGAAAAAAAATGCTGGCCCCAGGCATGGTAACTCATGCCTGTAATCCCAGCACTTTGGGAACCCAAGCCAGGAGGATCATCAAGTCAAGATCAAGACCTCGGGGCATGGTGGCTCAAGCCTGTAATCCCAGCACTTTGAGAGGCTGAGGCAGGTGGATCACGAGGTCAAGAGATCGAGACCGTCCTGGTCAACATGGTGAAACCCTATCTCTACTAAAAATACAAAAAATTAGCTGGGCCTGTAATCCCAACTACTCAGGAGGCTGAGGCAGGAGAATTGCCTGAACCCAGGAGGTGGAGGTTGCAGTGAGCCGAGATTGCGCCATTGCACTCCAGCCTGCGTAACAAGATCGAAACTCTTTATCAAAATAAAAAAAAAAAAAAAAAGAAAGAGATCAAGACCATCCTGACCAACATGGTAAAACCCCTTCTCTACTAAAAATACAAAAATTGGTCTGGGCACGGTGGCTCGTGCCTGTAATCCCAGCACTTTGGGAGACACCGAGGTGGGCAGATAACGAGGTCAGGAGATTGAGAGCATCCTAGCCAACATGGTGAAACCCTGTCTCTACTAAAATACAAAAAATTAGCCAGGCGTGGTGACATGTGCCTACAGTCCCAGCTGCTCAGGAGGCTGAGGCAGGGGAGTCGCTTCAACCTGGGAGATGGAGGTTCCGATGAGCCGAGATTGCGCCATTGCACTCCAGCCTAGTGACAGAGCAAGACTCCGTCTCAAAAAAACAAACAAAAACACAAAAATTAGCTAGGCATGGTGGTGTGTGCCTATAGTACCGGCTCGGGAGGCTGAGGCAGGAGAATTGCTTGAACCTGGGAGGCAGAGGTTGCAGTGAGCCAAGATCGTGCCATTACACTCCAGCCTGGCGACGAAGGGAGACTGTCTTTAAAATTAAAAAAAAAAAAAAAAAAGAGGAAAGCATGGAGGTTACTCTGTTCTTAAGCTCCCGGTAAATATGTGTTCCACAGACTCAGAAGAAAAGTTGGACAAGGATTCACTGGCGATTGACAAATATTCAAGGTAGTGAAAAACAGCAGTTGGAACATGGATAGCTGCTTGCAGGAGATCCGGGAGCGGCAAAAGTTACTGCGATAGCTCCTTGCGCAGCAGTTGGGAGCTGAAAGTGCCGACAGCATTGGTGCGGTGTTAAATAGAAAAGATGAGCAGAGAGAAATTGCTGAAACAAGAGAAACTTGCAGGGCTTCCTATGATACCTGTGCTCCAAATGCAAAACGATTAGAAATACAACAGGAGGAAGAAAATTTGCCATATGAAGAAGAAATTTTAAAAGATTCTAGTACTTTTCTTAAGAAAACAGAGCTTAAATCCCAATGATTAATGCCAACATTTTGTAGACACTGGACATAGACCTCAGAATTTCATCAGGGATGTAGGTTTAGCCGACTGATTTGAAGAATATCCTAAACTGAGGGAGCTTATCAGGCTAAAGGATGAGTTAATAGCTAAATCTAACACTCCTCCTATGTACTTACAAGCAGATATAGAAGCCTTCGACATCAGAAAACTAACACCCAAATTTGATGTGATTCTTCTGGAACCCCCTTTAGAAGAGTTTACAGAGAAACTGACATCACTGCTAATGAAAAATGCTGGACTTGGGATGATATTATGAAGTTAGAAATTGATGAGATTGCAGCACCTCGATCGTTTATTTTCTCTGGTGTGGTACTGGGGAGGGGTTGGACCTTGGAAGAGTGTGTTTACGAAAAGGGGGTTACAGAAGATGTGAAGATATTTGTTGGATTAAAACCAATAAAAACAATCCTGGGAAGGCTAAGACTTTAGATCCAAAGGCTGTCTTTCAGAGAACAAAGGAACACTGCCTCATGGGGATGAAAGGAATCATTCATGCTAATGTTGACATTGACTTAATTATCACAGAAGAACCTGAAATTGGCAACACAGAAAAACCTGTAGAAATTTTCATATAATTGAGCATTTTTGTCTTGGTAGAAGACGCCTTCATCTATTTGGAAGGGATAGTACAATTCGACCAGGCTGGCTCACAGTTGGACCAACGCTTACAAATAGCAACTACAATGCGGAAACATATGCATCCTATTTCAGTGCTCCTAATTCCTACTTGACTGGTTGTAAAGAAGAAACTGAGAGACTTTGACCAAAATCACCTCCTCCCAAATCTAAATCTGACCCGAGAAGGTGGAGCTCCCCGAGGTGAAGGAAGAGGTGGAACTTCCGCTGGCCGTGGATGAGAAAGAAATCGACCTAACTTCCGAGGAGAAAGAGGTGGCTTAAGAGGGGGCAGTGGAGGAGTACACAGAGGTGGCTTCCCACCTCGATAATTGTTGAAGACATTGATCCTGTTTATACTCCTTTAATGTTCTTTTTTCTTTTTTTTTTGAGACGGAGTTTCACTCGTTACCCAGGCTGGAGTGCAATGGCGTGATCTCGGCTCACCGCAACCTCCGCCTCCTGGGTTCAAGCAATTCTCCTGCCTCAGCCTCCCGAGTAGCTGGGACTACAGGCTCGCGCCACCATGCCCAGCTATTTTTTGTATTTTTAGTGGAGCCGGGGTTTCACCATGTTGACCAGGATGGTCTCGATCTCCTGACCTCGTGATCCACCCGCCTCGGTCTCCCAAAGTGCTGGATTACAGGCATGAGCCACCGCGCCCGGCTTAACGTTCTTTATTGTAGTTAAATTTCAAGTGGGAGACTTAACTTTAGAATGCACTTGCAGCTTTTGCTTTAATTTCTCTCTGCTCATCTTTGCTATTTAACACTGCACCAATGCTGTTGGCACTTTCAGCTCCCAAGTGCTGCGCGAGGAGCTGTCGCCGTAACTTCTGCCGCTCCGGGATCTCCTGCAAGCGGCTATCCATGTTCCAACTGCTGTTTTCACTACCCTGAATATTTGTCAATTGCCAGTGAACCTTTATCCAACTTTTCTTCTGAGTCTGTGGAACACAGTATTTTCCGGGAGCTTAGGAACAGAGTTACCTCCTTGCTTTCCTCTTTTTTTTTTTTTTAAGACAGAGACTCCCTTCGTCGCCAGGCTGGAGTGCAATGGCACGATCTTGGCTCACTGCAACCTCTGCCTCCCAGGTTCAAGCAATTCTCCTGCCTCAGCCTCCTGAGTAGCGGGTACTATAGGCACACACCACCAGGTATTGCTATTATTCTCTCCAGCCCCAGCCACCCCTCTCTATAGCACCACCCACCATACTTCTCAACAGCCTAGACCTAGTGTCTCCCTTTTTCAAAGCCTCTCTCCAAGGCATACTGTTCCCCTGAGAGAGCTGAGCCCTGAGGGAAGAAAACAGGCCTGCCAATGGCTGATTCCCACTCCTCAGCATCAGGCTTTGCATTCTATGGAAAAGGTTTCTAGGCCAGGCAGCAAATTTCCTAAATGCACCAGGTCTCTTAGAGGTTGGCCTGATAGCTGTAGGTTGGATTCTTCCTCATAAAGATGCTTGGAACACAGGCAAGACAGTCCACATAGAAATGACCTGCAGGCTGGGCACAGTGGCTCACATCTGTAATCCCAGCACTTTGGGAAGCCAAGGCAGGTGGATCATGAGGTCAGGAGATTGAGACCACCCTGGCCAACATGATGAAACCCCATCTGTACTAAAAATACAAAAATTAGCTGGGCATGGTGGCACGTGCCTGTAATCCCAGCTACTCAGGAAGCTGAGGCAGGAGAATTGCCTGAACCCAGGAGGTGGAGGTTGCAGTGAGCCGAGATTGCGCCATTGCACTCCAGCCTGCGTAACAAGATCGAAACTCTGTCTCAAA